CATAAAAATCTTTTGACGTTTCTTAGAACATTAAATAAATTTATGAGTTTATCTCTAGAATTGAAATGAAGAAACTTAGATTCACTATTCAGCTTTTTAGTTTTTTAAGTTCTTTAAAGTTGTAAGGGGTTGGAATGTCTACAAGTACTTAAGCTTTCTCAAGATTGGCTTTGATTATCTCAGGTGATAAAAGATGCTTTAATAATTTTCTTATTTTAAGTCTTAATGTGCACTTAAGAGGGTTCAAACTTCATGTTATATCTTTTTAATGTATCAAAATTTTCTTTTAACTCTTTTATTTGTTGATCAAGCATTTTACTTTAAACTAATACATCATTGATATGAGCCAATTTTTTTTCTTTTCTTATAGATAAATATTAAATATTCATCATTTATTGATATGTGGTTCCCATATTTTTAAACATGAAGGGCGTAGCACTATAGCAAAATAAATGCTCCATAGTGACAATCACATACCTCTTGACATACGTAGAATGCTTTTTTGTTTGGTGATACCGAGAGAATGCATCCAAGAGTCTCATGTATGCACGGTCGACAGCTAAATTCATAAGTGCATTGATCAATAATAGATTATGTTGACCTACTCTTTTCCTCAATCTTTATCAAATTGAACTTCACTTGAGCTGAGTCTTGAGCTAAACCCTAATTTAATAAAACTAAAATCTATTGAAATAAAAAGTAAATCAATGAAAAAAAATAAAAAATAAATCTAACCAATTCCATCAAATGCTAAAAATAAATCTAACCAATTTCATGAATGAATAGTGCTTCAGACACCTTAAGAATATAATTTTCTGCATAAACAAACCTGATGATCAGAAATATATTATGTAAATTGCATGATGCTCATATTCACTTAAAATTTAAGTAAGATAATCATGGGTTGCATATAGAAATTATTTTTGTTCATTTCTCTTTTTTACTTTTAAAGGAGTCGGTTGCTTGTCCATCATTGTATTCTTCCTTTTCCAGATTAAGTCTCTATTTCAAATCATTTGAATGATTAGGGGAAAATAGGAACTAGAAAAATATGTCATATGACAAAGGTAGACAAACAAGAGAAAGGATGTGGAGAACTTCCATATGAAAAACCTCGGTATAATAGGTCAAGCATATACGTCTGAAAAAAGATCATATTGAAATAAATTATGTCAAATATCTGCAAAAGGATTCATAAGAAAACCACCCAAAACTAGAGATTTAGGCATGTTTGCCTATTCAGTGTCCAGAGCGCTCTCAAGGGGACGTATCCAACTTAGTTAATTACATCTTGGGGGTTGCTCAAGAATACTCTTGAATCAATGAGATTTGCTTAAATTTAAAGTAACAACTAGCATTGGGCTATCAAATGATATTTTGTAGAGGAACTCACTGTTGTTTTCAAAGCTCCCACTAATTCATGGGGTGGAGAGTGAGTCTCTCATGGTTCCACATGGGAAACGGACTCATTACCATACAGAGCTCGTGAAATAATCAAATTTTATCGGTAATATGGGTAACATGCATTCTAAACATGGGTTTCTATTATGTCAAAGCACATCCAATCTATAAGGGCAGAGGACAATTCATCGTATCCCAAACAGGTGACAGATCATCGGTAATCAGGTCGTCTAGATGATATCAACGACAATAAGAGAAGTGATAGGGCTCAAAGTGGGTAGTCAAAGAAAGGGAGGAATAATTCTTAACAGTAGAGGTAGTCAGTTTGGGGCATCACGGACCCATCATCTCAAGCTACTAGGACCCTAAGTCTACCTAGTCATGAAGGTAGTCGACCCAACATAGAGATCCCCAGTTAGCAATCTGTGAATTGCATTGTCCGTATGAACCTCGGTAGCTCTAAGGTCAAAATAATGAAACTCTATCCTATGATTATCAGGTGGATCTTCAAAAGGTGGGACTTATATCAACCAAAGTAGTAAAGATGTCATTAGAAAGGAAGACAAGAAGAGGTTTAGCTATAAAGCTAGAAACACTTCCAACAATACTCCCCATCTGGGTTGAGGAAGCCACTAACACCCTAAGCCCACTTAAAACCCACATAAGTAGAAATCTAATTTAGGCCAATTGGGTTAGAGAAGAATGAGGACTTCTCCTTAGAACATGCAAAATGATGCATTTATTTATTCATGTCCTAATGTGGAGTCCTTATTGGTATGACTTGAGATATGAACTAGAATGCAACTCATTTTAAAACTAGCCTAAAGGTCACGCAGGAAAGTAAAAGCAGGTTTTAGAAGTCTTGAATCTCTTAATCCTAAATTTTAATTAATCTTAAAATTTTTATAGAATTTTGTAGAAAATATTTTATAAATTTTATGACATAGAGAGTCTAAGTGAAAGTGTTGGATTCCTAGACAAAAGAACGATCCAAAATAGGTGAAACCAATTTAAACATACAAGCATGCAAAAAGTTAGAACAAAAGGCAAAATTAGATAATAAAGGGTCGATGTTGTTTGGTCAACAACATATCCCAGAAAATAAAAAGGTGGACAGACACTGTACAAGTACATGTCCAATCATAATTCTATACATCAATGAGATTTAGAATTAAAGTACAGGAGATGAGCAAGCAACTCCCGGTCCTCGTCATGTGATTTCGCCTTGTGTGGTGCCTCAGAGCTCTTTCCCGTACCTTATTTCTAATATAGGACTCTCCCAGGGACTCTAAAAGTACATAGGAAAAATAAAAAAATTACTCTACCTACATGTAGACAATGTTAGGGGAAAGCCAACAAACATATAACACATATGAACCATGTCTGGAAAGAGGAGCTAACCAGCGCCTGTAGAAAAGAGAGTAAGTCATAAGCATTACATTGCTCCTCCCTGTTACATGTGAGGTGTGTATTTAGACAAGACTCCTTGCAAGAAGACTGACATAATATACTATCATGCATATCAAAACAATAAACATGCAAGCACACCAAAGGAACAAAAGGTGTTGTCTGTCTACAACCAAACCAGCAAAGATTTATAGCTAGGAAATTGAAAAGGACTACCTCGTATCCTAGTCCTTAGCCTAGCACACCATCTAACATAGTGTCATAACCAGCATCTAAGTGAGTGCAGGGTTATGTCTGTAGGTTGACTTGAATAGAGTATGGGCCTCTCTTGAATATCAAATGAAGAGGACAACCAACCAACAGAACAAGAGGACCAACAGAGCTACGGCATTTTACTCTAAATTAGAGGCTCGGTTCAGCACATGGAACACTATCGATATTTGGTAAGATTCTCTAAAGACTACACAATTTAATGATGTAATTTTTATGGTACTCACTTTTTTTTCATGTACACTGGCTCAAAAATTTGGTCGAGCGCTCACCACTGCATAATTCAATGTCTGGATGCATCGACACACGGGGATGTACGAATAGGTTTTTGACCTCTTTCCACGTGTCAATGTATTTTTAAAAAATGATTTTCAATATTTTTTACGCTATAAATGAAGATGATCATTAATCCTTAGTTCTAATTATATAGAAGAAGTACGAGCTCATCTAAGACGTATAGAGGCAAAGGGAGAACAACATCTCGAAAACTACCAATAAAAGTTGTATCCAGTTAACCACTGTGAAGTCTGATTTTGAGATTTTGAAGGGGATCAGAGGGAAGAAGAATGGAAGGGTGTATGTCTTGGGCGTGAAGGGAATTGAATTTCAGGTCATTACTCTCGTGCTCCTTAGGGTGTTTCAAGGTCATTATTACTAGAGCATGAGGAGCTTAACTTGAAAATGACTGTTACGACTAACGAGCTCCATCAATTACATAACAACCAACAAAATATCGAGGACACTTTAGCATGACTAACGAAGCAAATTGTAAATGATTGTTGCAAGCGGCCTCTAAATTATGTGGTTGAAGATGTGGATGAGAGAGAGGAGAGGGAGGATGATGATGAGCTTGATCATGATGCCCTGTAGAGGTTTATGTGTTTTTTTTAGTATGTGGATGTATTATTATTTGTATCTATGTTTTGTGTTTAGATGTGAAATTTTATGAATTTAGATTCATATTTGTTAAATTAAATTTGCTTTCGTTGTCGGTACTCGTTTGAGCAATAGATTCTGCGTTATGATGATGACAAGTAAATATTTATGGTATTTGTTTTCTTTATGTGCAGGTTGTAAGAATCTTCCTTTTTGTTATTATTTTTTTTAAATTTTGCTACAGGTTTGAGTCGGCTATTTTAGATGCTAATACATTCGATAATTTTCAACATTCTTTGATGTATTCTAACGCTAAACAACATCTCTGACAGATATGACAGATACGATCAATACAAATGAAGACGCAAATTTGCGTCCGCCAAAAAGGCATGCAAATTCTGTAGTAACATTTGCATCGACCTAAGGCACGTTTGAAAAGGTTAACGTCGATAATGACTTACACCAAAGTCGACGAAAGATGTTTGCATTTGACATTTTTTATGCTACTTGCATTTCCTTCTCCATTTTTTGCATGGATCATATGTCTAACTCAAATCCATTGCTAAAACAACCTTCGTCGGATTATCGTCATTTTAGCTTTGTTATTTGTATAAATCATGAGCTTAAGTTTTATGGTCACATTATTATTTATTTATTATTATTATTATTATATATCATTTTTTATTTTTTATTTTTTTATTTTTTTTCGTGCTTAGCATCTACTAAGTCCTGAACTCTAAAGCCTCTTTCTAACTTACCATTAATGTGATAAAGCATGCTCATGTTCTCATACCGACCCATATAGTTATCCTAAGCCTCTCTTTTCATCAGGCCTCCACACTTGTCTGATTAATGACACAAATACCAACACCATTCCTTTTAACTTGCTTTATTCGTTTAACACCCACATCTCCATCCTTGCACCCACCTGCAAAAACATACACACACTAGCTTTTCAGCTAATCCTGAAGCTCTGGTTTAAAACTTTAATGGAGTCTCATGGAAAGGCATCTTCTCCGCTCTTCCAGCTTCTCCAAGTGCAGCAGGAGCCATTTCTTCTTAAAGTCTACCTCTTGGAGAATGGATATTCCTGCAACCTCCTTAAATCGCAGGATACATTTAAATGCTGGCCTGCAGAAACTTGCAGAAAGTTTTTTGGATTCTGCTCCCATGGCATCAAGAGTAGGAGAGGAGTAAGCTTCTTTAGTTGTGTTCTTCGCAAGCTTTTGCACTTGAAGCGCATAATGAAAAGTCTGCATTTGGAAAACAGAGTTCCTGCTAAAAGGAATTGGTTCGTACTGAGCAGAAGCCGATTTAGGAGATTGCTCCATTCTTGTGAGGAAATCATGGATGCTAAAGTGGTCTGGAAAAGCAGGGAAGATAACAAACAACTTAGTCCGGTTTCCGTCTTTGAATTTCATTCAGCTGAGTTCCTCTCCCCACACAATCACTGTAAGTTCATTTCATCTTCAACCATGCATTAATTGATTAAGGGCATGTTTGGAGCAGCTGTAGCTTATCTAGCTTATTCAGATCATGAGTTTACTGATCAACAGCTGATCTGGATAAGCTGACTGACTGTTTGGTTTGTGCGTTTGGAAAACAATTGATTTGCAATTGTTTCTAAATAAATGATCATTCTGCCCATTTGCAGTATTTCTGTTACTGCTGGATAAATGATGTTATCAAATAAAGTTTTTCAAGTGAATGCTTACTTAACTTTATCATAAAAATGATGTTATCTATCAAATTTAACTTAATTGGTTCAGTGTTATTTGCTTGGAGGGTGTAATAATTTATTATTTTAGAATAATATGAAAATTACTTATATTCCAACTAAAAATGTGTATTTCTATTTTAAAAGTTAAAATAGTATTATTTTTTAATGTGATATAAGAAATTGGGGTGGTATAAATATATTTAGTAACTTTTAGGTGTTATGTAAATACTTAAGAATTTGGTGATATGTAAGTAAATGCCCCTATACTATATATATATGAACATCATTATGAAATGTATTATTTAAAGATACCTCGAAAAAATAAAAAAACTTGACTTTGCCAACAACAGAATAACAATTCTAATGCTAGTGAAAAATTCCTAAAGTTGCTTTAAATCTTGCATCTTCTTCTTTAATTGCATGTTCAAAGCTACGGAAGAAGAGAACCGATCAACCTCAACAATGAACTCGGACATGTCTGAAGAAGCACATTATTTTACTTGTTTCAGCAACCTAAATCAGACTGAAAATGGAGCCAGAAAGGACAAGCAGCCTCTCCTGAAATGCAGGAAGGAGCTTAAAGAGAGAATTTTTGCCTCACATTATGGTTTGAGCCAAAGCAAGTCTGAAAAATCAAGAGAAATGCAGATCTTTTCAGTGGAGAAGCATAGGAAGGAAGTTGCCAGAATAGCAAAATTGATAGATATGGACCTGTCTGGGACCAGGAGGGAATGGAGCCATTTCAAGGATGAGGCGAAAAAGACTGGTTTGGAGATAGAAAGACTCATCTTTGAAGAGATTAGAGAGGAAACAGTTGTCGAAATGTTTGGCTCTCATTTCTACACAAGATAGATTCTTTCTAATTCGTATGCATCAGTTAGCTGTTAGTCTTGATGCTCTGCATAAATGAGGTTTAGAATCGAACTCATTATGTGAAAGCTAAGCTATGGAATTGGAGAAAATTTTGCATACGTAAGATGTTTGCAGAGCTGCGTGCGTCGGAGGTTATTCAAAGGGTATTGGGAAGTTATAGGTAGGTTACAGATGTACGCAGCTCTGCAAACATCATGCGTACACAAATTTTTCTCATGGAATTGTGGCTGTAAGTTCCTAGAAGAACAGTTTTTTCTTTCTTATAAGATGAAAATAAGTACTTGGGGGATTTTTTAAGGATTTTAATTTTTTTACTTTTTGGCAGTATGGTTTTTATATTTATTTATCAATTTTTTTTAAAATTTTTTTAGTTATTATTGAATGTAATTACTTTGATTTTTTGTTTAAAATTGTGGGCCCTTGTTCAGTTTGTGACATAAATGAAATGTATGGGTTCCTATCATCCCTTTGACTGTGGAAAGGTGAGATTGTTGGGATTTCCTTTTTAACAAAATTACTTTCGTTTGTTGAAGTCAATCAAAATTAATAATTGATGGTTGGGTTGGGATAATGCATCTTGTGAAAAATATTATTTGGGTGAGGAAACATGATCTTCTATATGTGTATATCATCTAAGAGTAGAGAATAATTAAAAAGATTTTTAATTGTGGTTGGTATCAATAAAATAACCCTTATTGTAAATACACACACACAAATATATATATATAAATGATGGAAGGCTCTGCTAGAGTATCGCCTCATGGCGAACTCGGACGTCTGCTCGGCTGATTCTCCGTGGCCAATTGGTTGGCGGGGTTCATTGTAAGTCTCCTCAGGTCAAGGGTTCGACTCACCATGGCGTGGGGCGAAGGCTATATATATATATATATACTCAATTTAATTAAATAAGAAAAGCAAATTTTCCTTCTTAACTCGGTCGGTGTCGCGTCATCCTCGGCGTCGTTGAATGTCCATGTGGCCCGAACTGATTTGTTGTGCTTTACACAATGTTGCCACATTGTCCTGCAGTCTGATATTCCTACCCTTTGTTCGATGGTTTGACTCGTTCCATGTCATATGTTTCTAATTCATGAAAATGGATGACATCAGTTCATCTTCCCCATGGGACAGAGAACCAAGAACCGTTCGTGATCAAGCTCTATGATCTTACTCGAATCACTTGTGGTTTGTTTCTATAGCTTCATCTAAGCTAGACGAACAAATCTATACGGTTTAAGGAGCGTGATGCTTTCATTTGTTTCATAAAAGACCTAACATGAGACAAAATTTTGGTATTTTGATCCATGCCTTGTCCTAAGAGGTGTAGCCTCGATCAGGCTTGACAGAAATGATTGCATTGATACCACGAAGCTTCTCCTTGTCTCAATTTGAACTGAATTGGCCCTAGCATAAGCTAGACCAAATGGTAGCTCAGTTTGATGTTGGGATGGGATGGAGACTTCGAAAAACACTAATTTTTATTAGGGAAGATTCATGGAGGTTCTAGGAAACTCTTGGAAGGTTTAATAGCAAGTTTCAAAAGGGTTCATGTTGAGGCCAAAATTTGTCCTGGCTTAAGGCTGGAAAATTAGGTTTTCTAGTGGATTTGGTGGCTTAAGGAGACGAGGAATCAAATGCTTTAGTCAAGGGGAACACTTTTGATATTAGGGGTGGTCTAGAGAGTTCAGTGTGTGTTAAGGGTTTTTAGGTTTGCTTCTTAAGTAGCCATAGAAAGCCTTATAGAAGCTTGGCATGGTTTGGGACAAGCTTGGGCAACTCCTCAGAGAACTTTCAGAGGCATGGGAGTGGTTTTGGTTGAATCAGAGGTGCTATTTCACTTTTTTTTTAAGCTTTGACCATGGAGGCACTAATTGTGCAGGAGAGAGGGTATCCATGCCAAGTGGGCATTTGAGAGAGTTTAGGTGTGGTTTTGAAACTCCGCAAAGGAACATGAAAGGATTTGGGTGAAGTGGACTTGAGTGCCAACTACAAAGGGGATGGCTAGGTGTGATTCCCCTTTGTCCATGTTTTATTTTTTTGCTAGGTGTGATTCCCCTTTGTCCATGTTTTATTTTCTTTTCTTTTTTTGCGAATATTTTAATCTATGTTATGTGTCACTCATTTTTCTATTGGTTTGACTTGGGTCATGGATGACCCATGAAGGATAAGTCATGGGCTTAGGCCATGGACTTGGATTTTGGATTTAGGGTTTGGGCTAAGGCCCTTACATGATAAGTTGGATCTTTAGTATTTGGGCTAACCTATTATAATTATGCTAACCCAATAGCTTAGATCCTAATGCACCCTCATAATTGACCTAATTAAATAATTAGTTGAATTGTAAGCGTTGACCCCAAATGTCAATTTTGGCCCTATATGTGATTTAGTGTGCTAACCTTCTTGGGTGTGTTTGAATTGGTTTATATTTAGCCCAGAATTTAGCCTAAACAGAAATTTAATAATCCACTTAATTAATTAATTAATTATTTGATTTAAAGAGATTGACCTCATGGTGTCAATTAATTGGGTTCATCATATGGTGTGGTATCATGAACATATTTGTGAAGCCAAATTGGATGGGGAGGTGGTCAATTGGTCAAGATTTGACCAAAAATCAGAGTTGACCCAATTGGATTTGACCATTTCATGGTGTCACCAAACTTTGAGGTAAAAAGAGTGTGTTAGGGTTTAGGTCTAATTTTTAGGGTTTAGTGGGGTTAGGGAGGCCTTCAGTGATGTGAGGGGTCAATTGGCGTAGGCCCCTCTCCCATGGTGGATTTGGTGGTCAAAGTGAATCGTAGGGTCCATAGGCAAGTCCCTAGAGTTTTGGATTGATTTGGGTGACATGGGGCTTGTCTTGGCCCCAGTGGTTAGTTTGAGTTCACCTAAGGCATGTCTAGCCTCTGGAGTCAATTTAGGTTCTTCACTTGGTCAAAATCATAAACCCACTCAACCAAGGGTTGGAAGCTTGGTGTTGCACTTGTTAGGTCCAAAAAAGTACAGCCCTAGTCTAAGGTTATGTACAAATGGGTGGGATAAGTCCTCGCAAAAGTGAGGTCAACATGTAGTGAGGTATAAAACATTTAAATTTGAAATTTCAAAATATGTTTGCATTAGCTTATGGCATTATGCATATCATGCATACATAGGCAGCTTGATTTTTAATCAAGTCGTAAGGCCTACAAATCTTAATAAATGACAACCTACCCTATCTTGCGTCATCGAGACCAACCATTCATGGTTTTGAATGTGATTAGGTAGTTTAGATGACATCCCTTTCACATGTATGGTTGTAAGTCCATTGCATATCATGTTTTTTTTACATTTAGGTTAGGAATCCCAAGTTTCACTTCTCTCGGTGAACTTCACCCTAGGACTCTGAGGTTGTTCATCCAGTTACATCATAAATCCTCACATTTAGGCTTCTGCATGAATATATGCCTACAGTCCTAACATTCTAATAAATTTCAGAATAAAACATTAAAATATTTATTTGAGAACGACAAGATTGAACTTCTTGAGGATAAAGCCACAACCTTAATCAAGAGTTTTCTTAAGTAGATTTGACCGCTTAAGATGTCATTAACTATAGGGGCTTGCCTCTATAGGAAGGAGAAGTCCCAAGAACAAATATAAACCTTATTTAGTTTCCAAATTAGATAAGCAAAGTAACTTATCATATTTAAATTGTGGACCATTAATGTTATCCAACACTCTCTTTGTTCAAATAATCAAACTCATCGTAAAGTTCTATGTCTGTCATTCAAGGCAGTTTACTACTTTCAACGATGTTTTTGATTATTCAAACAACCCAAATCTTCGAATCAACACAACATCCAAAAGCTCTGTGTTGGTTGGAGAGCAGCAAAAAAATAATAAAAATAAACCTCGACAGGGCAAACAGGCCAAACACTCTACTTCTAGTCAGAGGTTATCATTGGTTAGTGAAAAATTTGCCAAATGTGTGGCAACAGTCATCAAAGACTTGCAGAGCAGCTTTGCTACTGATCTACATGAGATGGAGTCCATGTTGAAGGTGATGAGGCATGCTGGGGATTATATGCTTGAGATTCTCAAGTTCACCATTGAAAATTTACAACATTAGGCATCTCACCATGGAAAAAGACCTTTGATCAAGGTAGAGGAAGTGGAGGAGGAGAACCACCAAGTTTATGAGGTTTTTTTCTCTGTGTGTGGAGTTTTGATTATACTTCTTTCATCGATTTTACATACACCCTTATGTTGGATAATTTATTAAGATATTTTTTTATATTTCCTATGACTTTATTCATTTTTATTATCTTTTTCATTTTTTTACACCATTGTGATATTATGTTTATATATTAGTTATTTATTTTATTATTTGATTACCGGTGCGTAAAATTTGTTTGGTTATGGCTTGGCTATAAGTTACCAATAGATTTGTGAGCTGATAAATACTTACTTATTAAAATTTAGCAACATATTCGGTAACAGTTGATGAGCTGTAAACATTATATGTTGAAAAATCAGCTGATCAATAACTATCGGCTAAAAAATTTGCAGTAAATCAAAACAATAAACTTAAAAGGTGAATACTTTACATCGACGGGATTTTTTTCCTGCAAAAGATATTCAGCTCAATTTAAGCCATAAATTTCAATAGCCGGTTGAAATTAAGCTATTACCTATTAATTTCTCAACTAGTAATCGATGGTATTCTGACAATGCCACTTTCACTAGATACTTATATTTCAAAATTAATTATACTTATGAGCATTCAATTCATTTTCGCATCGTGGACATGTCTAATATATCTAAGTGTCCATATAATTCCATCAAATATCTTAATTTTAATGTTTCCACTTACAAGGAGCATTATTCTCATTAGAATTATACCCTTATACACTATTTTATGTGTTAAAAAAGAGTGCTTATTGGGATGCATATAAAATTTCCAAGACAAATCAAGAGCCAAATTATCATAAGTTTTCTTATCAGAGATATTTAGAAGTTCACTATCACTAATATCCTCTTATACAATGCTAGCATCACAAGATTAATGTGATTGTTTACCCTTTTGATTAGGAGTCACTTTCTCAAGTATATTTTATAACTTGTAGCATTCATACTTGATATATTATATCTTCAGTCCTCTCACAAACAATAAAGCCTTCTACCAAAGGAGCAAGTTTTTCCATAAGCTGTTTCATCTTCTATTTAAATAATAGAGCATCATATATTTAGTAAAAAATAAGGTTGCATTTGGGGTAGTGGTGGTGGTGCCACGCCGTACTTTCAGGCATTTAGTAAAATTTTATTTTGCCTACTTTTTCA